ACTGAATGTTGCTAGTCAAATAATATTTGTTCATGATTAAATTGCTTTAATTTCAATCTCAAGGACTGGAAAGGCTTCAGAAGCACTGGAAAACTATGCATTATCTGAAGATATACTGACTCAGTGGTATATCACAGCAGAACTCTGAGCTGGTTGTGCTATTCATGCAAAGTAAATGCAGACACACTCTGGAAAAAAAAAAAAGAGTCATCAATCTGTGACATAAAGGGACTTGAGAGTACAAGAGGGACACTCTTCAGATCAATTTGTCCTACTGCCAACTGGAACATCCAGCTTGGAACCCTAAACACTTCTTTATTAAAGAGTACTCATGGTTTCTCCTTTAAATTAATATAAAAATTCCAGGCTTGACTTTATTATTGTGCAGACTATGTTTGTTCTAAAAATTCAAAAGTAGTGATGCAGAAAGAACTGACAAAGGAAAGAACATTTCAATTACSAGCTACTTCTATCACTCCTTGCTTTAGCTGAATCACCCTTGAGTGTAAAATGTGTAGCTATAGCTAAATAATAAGATGCATCTTTGAAAGGAAATTTCACATAGCATACTGGAAGTGCCAAGGCCTGTTCTGTATTTCCAGAATAAAGCACAATAGAGCTCTGTCCCTCTGCACAATACATGAAGCTTGCCCAGCAGGCAGAACATCACTASATGCTTAAGCATGGCTTTTCATCCAAGGGTAAAGAAGAATTATATGTTGTTTCACAACAATTATGTTGTTTCRTAACAAAAATCTCACACCAAAAATATATAACAAAAATTTCAAAAGATTTTTGCAAGAGTATTATTCAGTTCCCTTTCTGAAGAGAAGCAAGAAAAGCCATTACGGGCACAGAGTGAAAAAAAACATGCTGAAAATAAACGGTATAAACCCTTTATAGATTCCCAGATGAACACATTATCCATTGTACATTTAAAAGTATGATGGATAGCAAAGATTCCCTAAAAGATGGAAAATGCTTAAAAGATCCTGAGAAATCCCTTGGTTTGCCAGGACCTTAAAAAGCAAGACCAGTTATCACATGTGAGTAGCAAGCTGTGGCCTGAAACAGAAGTCTGKTTTTTCAACAGTGGTGTGCAGGACTACTGCTGCTGAGCTCAGAACTATGTAGAAACCTGGGGATGCTGCATGCCATTTTGAAGGTGTCTCAGTGCTGTTTCTGGCACGGATGCCACAGGGTACCCATCTCTGGCACAAGTAGGAAAGAATTCAATGCACAGAATGAAACTGAGAACACTTCTTTGTACAGCAGATATAGATGAACTGGAACTGACTGCAGGAGCTAATAAACAGTAAGAACGATCTAACGAATGTAGGAAATGGATATTGACTGTAGAACTCTGACATCAGTTATACACCGATCTCTTGTTGGGAAAGAAAAGAGTATTTGGAATCAAAAGAGTATTTCCATGATCCAAGGAAATGCAAAATCTCACAGACTTGAAGCAAACAGCAAAACTCAAACCTAACACAGACCACATTAAGAAAGGGTGAAAAGGTAAGACCTCTGTTGGAAAACACGACTGTTTTCATCCAAGCAAAGACTCAGCCAAGGAGACAGCAGACACACCAAATCATCCCTCACCACACACCAAATAGAAAAAATGAAGGTCACCAAAGAAAAGTGTTCCTGGGTACAGAACAGAAGAGAAACTTGTTTGCACACCCAGGAGCATCAAAAGAATCCTAGTGACATACCAGATGCCAGGGGGCTTTTAACKATGTCCCTCTCTAATTGAGGATGAAGCACACACCAACACCATTATCTGCCTGAAGATACTGGCTTACAAAATATGGAACAAACAATAGGAACAGATGCTCATTTGGCCAGATTTCAATAAGCCTCATTAAAATCAAACACCCTGTCCTTGGAGCTCAGGTTCATGTTACATTTCTATCTTATTTAAGCACCTAGCACCAGTTCCTGAGAAAGTTGTCCACTTGTGGTTGCACACCAGTAGTACCATTAAAAGAAACCCTCTTGCAGAGACTTTTTGGTTTCTAAACAGACAAACAGGAGGAGTTTTTAAATATATGCCTCTGTGTGTACATACACATATAAAAACACAGTTAGAGGTTGCATTTCATTTTAAAAGATGTTAGCTCGAATATACACAAGACTTGTTGATCACTCAAAGGCAATGGGTACAAAACGGCAAAAAAATAACAAAAAACTCCTGCAGATGGGAGAGAAATAATGTCACAGATCTCACATGTGAAACGTGTGCATCACAATGCATAATTTTTATTTTAAGATCCCAGCTCTTTAGTCAAAACATGCACACACTTGAAACAATTTCTACTGCTCGTTACTAGCTTCTACCCAAACTTGTCCAAGGCCTATCAACTGAGCATCAGATGACAAATACCAGAAAAGAATGGCTAAGAACAAGACACAAAGATGCAACAGAATATGATATTCTAGYTTTATTTTTAAATGTCTGAATAAAACTAGTTAATTCGTAGGTTTGCAAAAGCCACTGAGCACCTGGTTGCACAGGTGGCAYAACACTGAATACAAAAACAGAGAGACAAGGTTTCCCAACAAACACAAACTTCCTTGAGTGATCAAAATACTGTAGCCTTATGCTGCTTTCCATAACTGAATATGTGTATCTGTTTTTCCCCCCTCTAWTTTAGGAAGAATGCCAGTTGTTAGGTTGATAGTTTACTGGATCTCCTGTACAGAAGCACTCGTTCAAAAGAGAGTTTAATAGACGGACAGTGCTCTAGTCTGAGAAAAGATAGCTCAATATTGATGTGCATGGCCTCAAGGGTAACTGCATTTCATTCTTTGAACAAACTTTTAGAAATGTCAAGCACAAGATCAGTAAATGCCATTAATACAGTCTTAACAGAGCACAATTATCTTTTCKGCAAGTAGGTGCAGAATCAGAAATTCAGTTTTCAGAAAAACCATTGTCTCTTGCAGACTGACTGACACATCTGACAAGCAGGTGATAATGCAGACGGTGGCTCCTAGTCAGRGCTGATACTGCACTGCAGAATCAGGAAAAGTAAATTATGATTTCCAAAGTAACCCTTTCCGCGTTTCACAGTAAAAAAAAAAAAAATTGAAACCCCTACAATATGTTCGGAAAAGTGCTGCAGACAATGAAAACTGCAGCACTTTCCAGTATTCACCTCCCTGACAAAATATTTTAAAGTCCAAGGCTATAAAATATATCAGTCATGGAGGATAAAACTCGCCATGTGCATGTGGCTAGGAGAAGGCCTCTGAACTCCCTAAATCCCATTTAAGCCCTCCACCTAGGGAACATTTAGTTGTGCCATTTGCCTGTTCTATCACTGAGCCATCTGCATTTAGATAGCTGGATTTATAAATGCTTCAACACTTCTGGAATTTCAAAGACAAGCTTTCTTAGAACCAACTTCATTTGGTTTGTAGCTAGGAAGGCAAAGGAAAGGAGTACAATAGCCAGGCAAGCTAGTACTAGAGGAATTAAATTGCCAGAAAACGCCTTATGGTTTTTCAGAAAAGGATATATATACATATAGATATTTATGGTGTATATATATACACACACATGTGTGTGCATGTATGTATGCATATATACAAGTTTATATATTGTTTTCTCTACATATATATGATGGCAGACTGTCCTAGAGTATGTATACACATATATTGCCCCACAGCATTCAGAGAGACACAATATACAAAAGCTATACAAAATGAGACAACTCGGTCAGAGCTGCTCTGCTTAAGGAGTTTCACCTATTCTGGATCCTAAAGCACCTTAGGAAGAAGCAGTGTGCAACACCACTCACATCAAGAATGGAAGGGGCARTATTAAACCTTGTACCAGGACTTTGTACCAGGACTGGCAGCTTCTCTCAGAAATGCTTCTCCAGTGGAAGGTAACCAGCTTGTCAGGCACAGTTTATGTGTGCTAAGCCACCTGCAAGCACTACGACAAACTTTTATGACAGCCAATTCCCTGACAAGAGTCAAAAGTAATGGGACATCCAAATTTCACCAGCAAACCCCAACAAAGATTTAGTTGGGAAATTATCTTAAAGGTCAATACAAAAGTGGCCCCTGAAGGGACAAGGCACCTTTAACCAATCAAAGTATGAAAAAAATGGACTTCAAGAAGATCAAGGAATAAATAACTGAAAGAGAGAACAGGCTTTTGAGTGGTCAKGTTTGTGGTGACAGAGGAGCAAGAAAATGCCAGCTGGTTTCAGTAACAGATGGCTGCATGCACTGATCTGTCCTGCATGCCCATTCTAAACTTCCTTTCAGTGGAAATACAAAGCTTACACAAGGCTAGACACATCCTTTGCACAGCCTTTCCAGACATCACCATGGTTCAGATGTCCTCCATTCACAAACAGCCCAAGCTGTACATTGTTTTATTCTAGTTATGCTGAATTCTAAGAAAAGAGGGTGGCTACTGGCACCTCATCTTTTCCAAACTCATCTACCTCAATTCTCAAGAAATTATTTTTCTGTGACAGGCTAATAAATTCATTTTCTTACGATTTTGACASTAATATCTTCCTCCTCTCTTTCCTTTAGGTATGGTGTTCATTGTATATTAATGCAAAGRTCTGTCTTTTTGTACCTCCCTTTCAGTAGCTAAGAAAGGCAACGACGATACAAAGAGCTCTCATGCAGTATTTCTAACATGCATTTGGACATTTATCATTTGAAGTTGCCACAGCTAATTACATGGCCAGCATAGGTCATCCCTATGGATGGAAAAGCCTATTACTTGTATAGCAGAACGAACTCTTCAATCCTACACAGCTCAGGACTCAAGTAATCATTTCCAGCAGAGAAAAACAGCAAGTCTGAAATCTCTACACTGAAGGACAAAAAAGCTTATCCAAAATACTTACTTTTTGTTTAAACATTTTTTCTAACTGCAGTATTTAACAAGAACTTTTCTTTCACTAACAATGAACAATTTTCTAAAAAACCCTCAAAACCAAAGCCATTCTCTTACTTACTTTGGCCACACAATTTTCAGTCTTCATAGCAGTGCTTCCTAGACATACTGTTTCCTGGTTTAAGCACAGTCTGGCACAGCTGTTGTAGGTCTGCAGAAAGATTAAAATGGTTATGAATAGAAGTACACGATTTTCTTTCAGGCACCACATTTTTGGCACAGGAACCTACGCTAACTCTACTACATTTCCTTTTTCTAAGATGTAAATGTTTCAAACCAAAATAAACTAGTTTATAGCAAAAGTCTATGTTCAGGGCATGCATGTCTTCTGAGAAGCTATGTGCAATTTTACAGTAGTGAAATACAAAGAAAAGGATTTTTCTTCTCTGTTCCTTTGAAAATGGAAAAAAAAACGTCATCCCAATTGTTTGCTCTTTCACAAAATGCTGCATAATTGAACAACTAAAGCAAGGTGATTTCTACATACTAGTTATCACAGCATATGTCAAATGTGAATAAAGATCTGACTTTATCAGATAAAATATGTGGGGACAGTACAAAGGTTATAATCAGAAGGGACCAAATGCAACCACACTTCATTGTTGTATTTAATCATCCCACTTTTGGAAAACTTTTTTTTATTTTTAAAGTAGAATGTCATTTTACTTTAATGCTGTCCTGCCCAAGTGACTCTCACCTGGGGCTGCAGACTTCAGAGTCTTTGCAGAACACATCACTTGTAGTCTCTTCCACTTTTAAGGGAAGTGTATGAACAACACTTTTGAAGAGGGCTTAAAATTACATTTTGGTTGACTTGGCTGTTTAAACTAATATGCCTGAAGAAYTGAGGAATTTCTAATGGAAGCTCTTCTCCTCACTGCCTACCTCAGAGCTTCAGTAYGGGATTAACACACCTGCCACCACTTACAGAAAAATGCCCCCATTGCCAAAGTAGTAGCTCAAAAGCAAGCACAAACTTGCTTTGTTGCAAGAGCAATAACCACAGACAAGATGTTGCTACCTCCAACAGTTGCGTGGGGAAAACCCAAAAGAGATGCTGAAAGGGAATTAAATTTAAATTGTTACAAAGACATTCTCAAGAGCACTAAGTAAAACATACTAATATTTGTGATATTTTTAAGATAGTGTTAATGAAACAATGCACAAAAACTTGTATTAGCTGCCTGTCAGTTCTCTCCCTATAATACTCACTGGGAAGCTCTGGAGCTCCTTTCTTCAGGGGTTCCTATGATCTRTTTGTTTGATTTGAACCTAGTCCAACCCCAAACTTGCTATAGGTTATAAAACTTGTAGACAACACTGGCATGATAAGGGCTCCTAAACTCTACCTCTGGCCCAAAGCCACATCACTAGAGCCAGATTTCCTCAGTGCCAAGCACCAAGAAATTATCACCCCCTTTTGCCCCTCTGCCAGAGGCCTGACTCTGTACAAGATGTTGTCAGCAGCAACACAAAAACCAGCAGAGGAACACATGGCAAAGGATGTCAGAGGCAAGAATGCGAAGAGATTAAAAGGGGGTTATGCTGAGTGATAGGATATGTGTCCACAAAGCCACTGTTTCCMGGAGGCCACAGCTCAGGTAAGCACCAACTGATGGAATCTGAGTGCTCTTAATCAGTTTATAACATTCACCTAAGTTGTTATGATCCTCATGAAACACTCCTTACWGACCACCATGGGAAACAGGTCTACTGGCTCAGGTGGGTCTGTACAGGAGTAGCATACTACAGACATTCTAGGAGAAATTTAGGAAATCACAGTGTTTTCACCTTACCTATTTATACAGACCCTCTAAAGTTCACCATGAAATAGAAACTAAAGAGAACAGATACCCTATCTTCTCCATCACTTTAGCAGTTCATGTTTTATTTCTCAGTGAGCTCTCTAACCAGAAAACAACGAGTGACAGACAGGAATGCAGAATATTCTGGCTCCAGCAGTTCCCCTTACATGTCACAACATTGGTATCTGCTTTGACTAGCTGCCAGCAAGCAATTTCTGACTCTGAATCCAGAAGGAGAAACTGAAAAATTCAAACACATGAATTCTTTCAAGGTGCTGTGCAGACGAACAAAGTGCATCTTTCAGCAGGAAAGGCTCAGATTCAAACTGGATTAAGCCACAAGCAAGCAGAAGTCTGATTGCCTCTTGCAAATATTTGCCAACATCATAAAACCATCACCCTGGTATGCACATAACTTTCTCCTCAGAAGAAAGATCAGAATGGTATAAACTATTATAAATTGGGGCTTAGATATAGCAGCCGAACTGATAGACAAAAAGTTGACACCATCTGCTTTGCATTGATATTCAGACAATACCATGCAAACTTCATTTTACAGGCATGGTATTAGCTAAATTCAACCAGATTGTGAAGGTGAAAAACCATGAAGAGTCAGATTCTTTGTTTGGTTTTTACATTTGTGTCATTTAACCCATTTATTGTAAATCTGTGAATTCTTTCATTTGCAATTTAATTTCTAGAATTCCAGATGTAGTATTTCTGCACAACTTGTCTGYTACACACTGTAAATCTTATGAGGAGCCCTGACCTGAGGAAAGCTACTCCTAACTTCACTTTGCAGATCAAAACCTCAGCCACAAAAACATTTACTGAAAAGCAACAAGGAAATCTGTGGCTCTGTGAACTGAACCATGAACTCAGATCTTGTCAGTCTTTTTCCTCCCAAGACAGGTATGCACAAAGCTTGGTTGCATGCCAGCTTTTTAAAAGCTGGGCTTACAACAGGCTTCCTCTCACATTTACAAATGGGAAAGAGTACACAATCTAAATACAAAATTTGAATTACTAAATGCTGAACCTACAGATGCCAGCATTTTCTGAAGGAAGCTCACTATACACTATTCAAAAGTTATGTGCATGTCAGAACACAGATACAAATAATTATTCCAGTGTATTGCTTAATTTTTATTWCTTTCATCCACACATTACATCTCAGTACAGCACCAACTGAATTTCCAGCATAACTTGTTCATCAAATCCCACAATATTAGGACTACTGACATTTGACGGAACTAGTATAGTATAAATTTAAGGAAGATAAAATGAAAACACTTCTTCACACAGCTGGCAGTGAACTTCTGGAGCTTGCTGCCCCAAGACATCGTGCAGAAAAACAACATCAGAAGAGGAAAAAGGRACTAAAACTCATGGACAGCAATTTCATAGATAATCGGCACAGATATCCCCCATACATCCCTAGTGCAACAGCAGTAGATGCTCCAGGAACAGGAGGGCAACAGAGTTCCAAAAGAGGCCAGACTTGTTTGCTCTCATTCAACAGCACTTTYCACTGACAGTGCTGGAGTGGACGGGCAGACTTTGGGTCTGACTGACCTGGGCACTCCCATGCTACCCATACCTCTCTGCCCTTTGACAACATACCAAGGAATTCCTCCTTCCCAACCTTTTCAGCCACAGAAGGAGAGAAGAATGTGCTTCTACTCTGAGAGCCAACTTCTACACAGCAATTTTATTACATAAGGATTTATGTATGTGCCACATTACCAGATGACCATTTAGTCCTTCAGCAGCTCTTTGTTTCTCAATAGAAGTAAAAGGGAAAAAGAGAAAATTAAAAGGAGTAAATATTATGGATTCAACATATCAGGATACATATTTGAGCATAAAACAAAGAGCTCTTTAGTTCAACATACATTACTGTCTTTGCAAAGTTACAAAGTTCTTATTTTTACATTCTCACAGAAGAATGCCTTATTAGCCTTCTGGGATAAATAAAGAGGGCAAGGAAGATTCACATGCATGTTCTACAATATGCTTTAAAGGGCTGAAAGCAAAACACAGAAAACCTAGCTCTCCCTTGAAGTCCAGGGGAAAAAGAGGTAATGTCACTCTACTYAATAGGYCTCWATGGAAATGTATTGACAATGTTACRAAGAAGCTGCACCTGTCTCATGAGGCCAAGTCATAAGAAACTTGAAGAATATATTTGTCAAGGCAGTACTATATGGTAGTCTCCTAATGCTTTTTTTGCTGGCAGCCGTTACTGGCTACTGAGAGACATAAAATGGCTGCTGGACATGGAGATTTGGTTTCATCTGATATTGTTTGTACACTAAGTTGCTACTGAATAGATCCAGTGAATAGACCAGTGAATTCTGAAAGCAGAGGTAATGTCATATCATCAAGTAATAATGTGGAGCCCTTCATGTTAGGTGAAATATTTGATGGTGTCTTATTCTATACTGCAACATACAAGTACCTCCTTTAATTTGTTCCAATGCCCATGGGAACATTGACTTACCCAGAAWAAAAGCAGGAAAATCAAAGCCAAAATCAAAGCTTCAGAAAAAAGAAATCTCTCRAGTTCACCTTTAAAGTTTGACCCTTCCACATATCTCATCTAATCTGCACCAGAASTGTCCAAGTTTCTCTTCACCTTTCATCAAAATAAGAGGTTTCTTCATCAAGTAAAAGTATTCTGAAATGATACCCTGGTTCAATGCCACCGGCAGATAGCTTTGCGTTGGAGTGCTTTAATATGTTTTTATATTGCATATAAAGCATGCAAACATAAACCAGTTTGTTGAAAACTACCCTCTTTGTGGAAGCTGGCTGTAATTCTGAACAAGTTTTCAATTTTCGCACTGCTGCTAGGGTAAAACATTTTAAAGAGTTTAATTTTTACAGTGGCTTCAATGACACGAGATTATCTAACAAAGTAATGGTTAATCAATAGAGGGTTTAGTTGTCAGGTGAAACATATAACACACTAAAAGGGATTGATTGCAAGACTCCTCCTTATTTACTGGGAGGTATATATTTAAAATGACACAAACTTGTTACCAAGCTGCATTCCTTTAACCTTGCACAAGCAGTTTGAGAAGAGTGTTAAGCAGTCCTATAGCCAAACAAGCTCTAAWGAAAGAAAAAAGGAAACCTATAAATATATGGGAGCACCAAATCATGTCAGAAGCAGGGGAACCACAAAGCTGTATTCACTGTCAGCCAAAGGCTTAAAATGCCACAGAGGCACTAGACTATGGTTCACTAAAGATAGAGCTGTATCTGATCTCATTCCGTAAGTGTCTTTGGTTACATTTTTCTTTTTAAAGAAAGTATGATCCTGCTCTTTGACACAAACACA